GTCCTAGGGCAGGAGGGGGCTAGAAAGCCCAGATGTGTGGGTCCTGCGGGTCTCTCACCCATACCCAGGATAGAGAGGATCCCTCTGGGAGACACGAGCTCGGGGCCCATCTCTGAGCGGCCGACCTGGCACTCGTACTGTGCGTCGTCGCTGAGGTCACACGCTTCGATGTGCAGGTGGAATTCGCCTGCAAGTGGGGCCCCAGTCAGGGCCACAACCTCTGCAGGTGGCTCAGGGCCCCCAGTTCTGATCTCTTACCTCTGGCAGGGTCCCCTTCCAGGCGGTACCTCGGGAAGCCCGGGATTCTAGGGTCGGGGCCTAGGAGTAGCCCGTCTTTGGCCCATTGCACCACACTGCCCGGGGCGTTGACTCCGCACCGCAGCTCCACCTCGGTTCCCTCCACCACCGTCAGGTTTTCAGGCAGGGCCCAGAAGCCTCGGGAAGTTGAGGTGGGGACCGGCGGCTGGGCCAGGCCTAGGGTCACAAGGGGATCCATAGGAAAGGGCAGGGGTGCAGAAAACGAGGGCCATTTGGCAGTGGATACAAGGCCAGGATCCGACTCACCTGCAGTCAGCAGTCCCAGGAGCAGCAGGAGAGCCCTGAGGGGGGTCCTCGGGGCCATCCCAGGGCCTCTGTCTGTACCCACAGGGCCCACTGCCTGCCACCTGTGTCTGCTTCTTTCTCTGGGTCTCTCTCCCTGTGTCTCTGACTCCTGCCTTTTTTTTGGTCTCTCTTTTCCTGTCTCTCTCACTCTCTTTGTCTTGTTTCCTCTCTTCCTATGAGTGTCTCTTTATCTCGGTCTCCTTCTGTCTCTCTCCCAATCTCTATCTCTGAGTCTCCCTCTCTGTCTTTCTCCACTTTCTCTTCCTGTCTAGGACTCTCTCTCAGCCCCCGACCTCACCTCCAAACCGTGTCTAACTTCCCCTGTCCAAGGCCCTCTCTCTCTCTCTCTGATCTCTCCTTCTCTTTCTTCTCTCCTGCCACTCCCACCTCACCTTTCTTTCTCACACCACGTACAGCCCCAGAGGGAGGACCCTCTGCTCAGAGCCCAGCAGGCCCTGTGAGCCCAGGAGAGCAAGGAGGCAGAAGCAGTCAGAGTTGGGCCAGTCCTCCAGCCCGGCTGGGCTCGTCCTCATACTGCTGCCTCCCCGGGTTCCAGCCTCTGCCCAGCTGGCTCCTCCCGGCCCAGCTGAAGCATGAAATCCCCTGTCAGCACATGCCAGGCACATTCCTCGGTGCCTCCCAGACCCTGTGACCCCAAGGGCCTGGCTGAGGCTGGGGAGAGAGAGAGCGGGTCAGACCTGGGCGGTCTCCCAGTTCAGCCTGGAGGGCAGAGACTGCCCTGCATGGGCGGTGAGACTCCTCCGCTCTTACCTGCCCCGATGCATGACCTCGGCAAGTCCCTTCCTTCCCTGAGTAGACATCAGTCCTTCTGTGATGCCAGGGATCTCTGCTGGAGAGCATGCAAGAGTGTGTGAGAGACTGGGGGGTGTGGGAGAGAGGGAAGGGGTCTGCGTGTGCCCGCGGGTGTGAGAGTGTACGTGCAAGCACGTGAGCACTCCCCCCTGGTGTGAATTGCCATCTGTGACGGTATGGAGTGTGGGAGAGTGTCGTGGGTGCCAGTGCGCAGTGCGGTGTGAGTGAAGGGCAGAGTCCAGCCCACCCGTCCTTGGTGTGGGTGTCGCAGGGTGCCCAGTGTGGGCGCACTTTGGCCAGGACCATGTGTGCCTCCTCCTGTCTCTATGTCTCGTTATCTCCTCCATCTCTGCTCCCCTCTTCTGTGCATCTCCCTCCCTCTATCCGTCTTGATTTATCCCTCTATCATTCTTCGTGTCTCTGAGACTCCTTGCCTCTCCGCGTTAGGCAGTTACATTGCAGTCGTCTTTAACTATTTCGGCGTCTCTCCCTAAGCTGTCGTCCTCTGTTCTCATCTCCATCACTCCCCCCGGCCCCCACTCTCTCTCTCACACCAGGAGCTCGAGAAATATCTGTTCTCAGTCAACCCCTGACTGTGCCTCTTTCTCTTGTTTCTCCAACTCCGAGCCGTCCTGACTGTCACATCCCTGAATTTTATAACCATATGCTGGTTGGCCTGCCCTCCCTCCCCTAGTGTGCAAACACACTCACATGGGATAAGCTTCTTCTGCCTGCTTATCTCCTGTGGGAATTGCAACTGCTCGCCCCCCCTTCTCCAGCCCCCCTATCTGGTCCTCCTCCAGGAACGAGATGAGGCATCTGGCCTGAGCCCCCAGCTCCAGCCTTGATGTTCCCTCTAGTCTCTCTTCTCTCCCATTATTAACTCCTTGCCCTCCTCCCACATTCCCTCTCAGCCATCCCTCCCCCCATCTCCTGGGAACTAGGCTGGACACGGACCTGGGGGAGGGGGCGGTCACAGCAGCCCTCACCAGATGGTATCCCTGGGGGCCAGGGTGTAGAGCTGTCAGTTACTGAGACCTTTAATTAGCACAAACCTTCCACCCTTCACCTTCGCTGTTTTCCTTCTCTCCATGCCCCTGGGACCTCGGGCTCTCCATGTTTCCATGCTTGTGGTCCCAGAGAGCCAGGAAGGGGAAGCGATATCAGGTGTCTGGAAAAACAGCCTCACTATCTGACTTCCTCCGCAAGACCCAGGAGTCCTGGCCTCAAGCTTGTCCTATTTAAAATCCAGGCACTGGAGCCACAATACAGACACCAAGAATTCAGGCCCTCCAAACTAAGAGTCTGGGCCCCCAGGAGCCTCCCCTTTCTGACCCCTTCTCTCCAAGGACCTGGGAGTTCAGCCTCCAACGCCTCCCCAACACGCGCACACGCAGGACTCAGGCACAGATGTTCACTGTCTGTTGATTTTTCAAATCCTCCTGGGTCATGTGGGGGTGGAAGAGAGATTGATGGTTAAATCCATGGACTCTCAGACTTAAGACCAGATATTCTGAACCCCGTCACTCGCTCCCAGCTGCACCAGGCTGCAGGCAGAGGACGGAGGACAGGAGTCTCCCATCTCACTCAGCCCACAGAGGTCTGAGCCACCAGTCTTGCAATCCTGGAAGCGCTGTCCTCTGTCATCTAGGAACTCCGAGACTGAGCCCAGGGAACCACCGAGAACCTGAATGTGGACTCTCCCGTCCTTTCAGGCCCAGGAATGTCAGACCCGAGCCCCAGCCCCGCAACCCCACTTCAGTGGTCTCAGGGTCCCTCCCACCTGGTCCGCCAGCTGCGCAGCGTGGGAACGCCCAGCTGAGCTGTCTGCAGCCGTCAGGACAAGCTGCGCGGTTCCCAGCCTCCCTGCCTGACTAGGCCGGGC